TGCCTCCCGCCCAGCCGGCTGGGTGCCGGCCGGCGCCTCCTCGCGCTGCCCGGCTGAGCTCTGGGCTGGGGCTGGCCGCCACACCGGCGCCGCTTTCTCTCCTTCTTAGAGAGAGGGGTCGCGCCTGCTGCCCAGGCTGGGCTCAATCCTTGGCCTCAAGCCGTCCTCCGGCCCTGGCCTCCCAAGTCGCTGGAATCCCAGGCGAGAGCCCCCGGGCAGGGCCGCGGCCGCCTTCTTTCAGCCCTGAGCCGGCCCATGTGCCTGCCGCACGCATGTCCCCGGGTCACATGAGATTCAAGAAGCGTCCCAGTCCAGAGTCACAACCCTCCGGCCCTCCCCCAGACCAGGCCCTGGAGATGTTCGCCGTCCCAGAGTCGCCCCAGCCGTCTTCCCTGACACAGACTCCTGCCCGTGGCCCTGCATCTGACCCAACACCCAACCACTAATTCCGCCTCCGCAGAACTTCTGTGGCTCTGTCCCGGCTCCCACCCTGGTCGAAGCCACCGTGAGACTAAGCAGCAAACCTCAGAAGCTACCTCTGCTCGTGTGCTTGCCGGCGGAATTTCACAAAACCACCCGCCAACAGAATCTTCCAAAGCCGGGCTTGGTGACTGACCTCCCGAAGAATGCCCTGAGACGGCAAGCGGGACAGACGCCACTTTCCTATCTCCTGCCTGAGTCGCTGCCTTCTTAGAGAAGCAAAGTTGAGTGGCCCTGGCCCTCGCCTTTTCCAGTCCATAAAAGAATGTCGGTCGGGACCAAGGATGGTGCTTCTGTCATCTACAACCAGATGTGTCCTCGCACCCAGACCTTGGTGGGATTTCACTCGGACGTCGCCTCCCAGCACCCACAGAACCGCCACCACCAGCAGACTCTGTGGCTGAAACACCCCTTGGGAACATCTAACCAGAAGCTCTCCGGCTCTCCCGGGTCATGATGTTCTGGTTGACACCCCCACCGTCTCTTGCCTGGACTCTGTGGTGAGCTGCACTCTGGGCCTTCCCTGATGTTCAGGAACGCCGGGGCGAGTCTAGCCTCCAGTCTTGGCCACACAGTGGGCTTGGCAGAGCCTACAGGGCTCCGGGACCTTCCCCACCCGCCTCTGCCGTTCCTGCATCTACTGAAAGCCTTTCACTGGCTTTCCGGCACACCGAGGACCTAGGCTGAACTCCCCTGCGGCCTCCCAGGCCCCTGTCCTTTGCTGCCTCCTCGCCCTCCTCCTGCCACATCGACTCCTTGGCAGCCTCCCACGAGCCCCTCGCCCCTCCCATCCCAGGCCCTTTGCTAGAGCCACGGCTTCCTCCTGGAGCGCTCCTGGGGGTCACAGGTCAAGGCCTCCCTTCCTCAGGAGCCTGACCTTCTCCTCCTCACGTGGTCATGCCTTCCTGCTCACAGATGTCCTGTCGCCCTGCGTCTGTGACCGTCCGCGTGCTGCCCCTCTTCCCAAGAGCCTGCTGGCCCCAGGAAGGCTGGCCCAGGCCTGTTTTTGCTCATTAGGCATCGTGCCAGGCGCAGGGCGGCAGCGCGGCCAGCACTGGGGGAGTGAATGAGTGAGCTGTCCACTCCGCTTTCCTGGGCGAGACCGGCTGGGGTTGGAAGGCACAGGTTCTGCCTCTGGGCAGCCCTCAGCGCTGCCTGGTCACGGAGCCCGGGTCTCAGGCAGGAGTGAGACTCGTGGGGGCTGGAGGCTGGGGGATGGGAATGCCCCGACTTGGACCCTCGCCCTCCGATTGCCTCAGCCCATCATGCCGCCACCTCTCCGCCTCCCCTTAGACTGAGTCCTTTTAGGCAGGGACACAGTTGTCCTGTCCACCACTTGTCCTCCAGGGCTGGTGTGTCAGATGAATGGGCATCTGCACCCCCCACCAGCGTCTATGGCAGCGCACCAGGGACTTGTCACTGGAGAGCGGTAAGCCCTCAGGCCAGCCCAGCCCTGTCCCCTTGCAGACAGGTGTAATCCCACTGGGAGAGGAAAGGAAACTGCTCAGCAGAAACCTCATTCCCTACGCTTGACAAAAGGGGGAAACTGAGGCCCCAAAGCTGCCCACTCGTGTCCTGGCTTCCAGATCCTTCCTGCCGCTCCTACCAACTCCCGTGGCCCTAGGGACCCTAGCAGAAATGGCAGCTCTTTGGGCAGGTGGGGGGCAGTGGGCGTAGCTGATCCTTGGAGACGTGTCCCCTCCCTGCCAGCCTGTCACGGAGTGGTGGCTGCAGGCAGGCAAGACTGTGTCTTGTCCGCCGCGTTGGCCCTGGTGCCTGGCACGCGCCTACCCTGTAGGTTCATGAGTCACTGGCTCAGGGTAGAGCAGGGGTGGGAGCCCAGGCCTCCCTCGGCCTCCCCATAAACAGCACCCACTGCCCTGCACGGTGGCCGGCGGGTGACGCAGTGCCCGTGCAGAGGCCTGCAGATGTGCCTGGCAGCACAAGCTATCCTTCCCGCCCCGTGTCCCTTCTCCCAGCGTGATTCAACATTCACTCAGCTTCTGCTCCGGGGCTTCCAGTAATGAGGCTGGGGGGTGGCGCCGGGGGCAGAAAACCAAGTCGCATCTGCAGAGCAGAGCCTGGCCAGTGGCCCGCGGGCAGGTCAGCGCAGAGGCACCCACCCTTCCTCGGGGACAGGGCCCGTGGTTCTGGCCGGGAGTCTGGGCTCAGAGCCTGGGTTTTAGCGGAGGGAGGAACTGGGCCACAAACAAACTCAGGAGGTGGGCCGGTAGGGGAGGGGCAGGGGGAAGAGAAGGGATCTGCCGCTCTGTCCCTCCAGGCAAGCCCACGCCCCTATCCCCTAGGAGGGCTGAGCGTGGGAGCGGAGGGTAAAGCGGTCCTGTCCTGTTCTGACTACTTGTGTGGCTTCCAAGCCTCAGTTCCCTCATCTGTAAAATGGGGATCGTGCCCCACAGTCCTAAGGATTGCATGGCAACGTGTGTGAAATGCTGGAGTGCCCGGCACATGCTCGACACAGAGGTCTAGAGAGGGTCTCAAAAGTCAGGGGGGCCAGGGGCTGCCAGTCGGGCAGGTGTGCCCTTCCTCCCAGACAAGCAGGAGCGTGTTTTTGTTTCTGAGTTGGAGTCTCACTCTGTCGCCCAGACTGGAATGCAGCGGCATGCTCACGGCCAACCCAGCGTCAACCTGCTGGGCTCCGGCGATCCTTTCGTCTCAGCCTTCCAAGTAGCCGGAACTACGAGCACATGCTACCACACCTGACTGATTTTTTATTTATTGCAGAGATGAGGTCTCACCAAGTTGTCCGGGCGGGTCTCGAACCCATGGGCTCAGGCAATCCACTCGCCTCGGCCTCCCAAAGTACTGGGATTACAGGCTGAGCCACCGAGCCCAGCCTCAAGTGGGAGCATTTGTGGTGCCAGGCACGAGACAGACACGGCCGAGCCAGGAAAACACCGTGACTTTATTTGCTACGCTGACAGCAGCTCCGAGAGAGTTGGTGGCTGCCGTCCCTAGGCGGGGTGGTCCGAAGGGGGGAACAGTAGTCAGTACTTCCCGGGGGAGGGGCAGCCTTGGGGCAGGAGTGTGGCAGCCGACGGCCTCAGGGCTGCAACCTCAGGGTTGCGGGAGGTGTCGGCAGCAATGGCGTCTCTGGAAAGGATCCGGTCAGTGGCTCAGAGGCAGGGTGCTCCAGTGTCCAGTGTGCCCGCCCGGCCTGCACTACCTCACAGGGCCGGCGGGCAGCGGCGGCCAGGGATGCTCAGCCAGCTCTCGCTCCAGCCGCTTGAAGCGCTTCTTAGAAGCCCGCTTGGGCCGCAGCCGGCGCAGGCAGGCCGGGAGGCACTGGTCCAGCACGCTCTGTGGAGGCCAGGGAGGGGCTGGGGGCACCGCTGGGGCTGAGCGCCCCCCTCCCTCCCACCGCCGCACCCGGGGCGGCCCCACCTCCAGCATGAAGGCCCCCACGAAGTTGAGGGCGACCAGGCCCAGCAGCAGCAGCTTGAAGCAGGTGTCAGTGATGTCCCTCAGTGCCAGCGGCCCCTGCAGGAGGCCGGGGGCCAGGATGAGGCCCACCAGGATGGCGCTCAAGAGGGCCAGAGCCACCAGGAAGGGCACTGTGGAGTGAGGAGAGGGTGTCAGCCGGGAGCCACGCCCGGGACACTGACATAGGCGTCCGCTCACACAGCTTCCCCGTCCCCTTCTCTCCCGTCCACCTCCTGCTGGCCCCTCCCCCCCGAGTCCCTTCCTCCCCTGCCAGTGGCACCGTTGGTGTACAGCGGCCGGCGGAAGGGCGCCCCCTTGGACACGGCCGCCGCCAGGATGAGGTACTGGAAGCTGGACAGAGAGAAGACCACTGTGTTCTCATAGTTGGGCAGGTTGTCTGGCGCGGGCACCGTCCTGTTCAGAGGCACAAACCTGGGGGTACAGGAATGGGGTCAGGGAAGAGGTGTGGGATAGGCGGGGCCAGGATGGGGTCGGTCGGCTCCCTACTCACCACGGCTGGGCGACGGTCAGGAAGTAGCCCCCCAGCTGCACGCCGGCCACCAGGGCCACCTGCAGCAGGAGGCTGCTGAGGACGGGCACGCTGAGCAGCGCCCCCGGCGGCCGCCCCCGCCCCAGGGCCAGCGCCGGCCCCGTGCGGCTCATGAGCACGGCCACCGTGGTGGTGATGACCAGGTCGATGGCCAGGAACTGCACGTCACCCAGATTGGTGTTGATCTGCCACAGGGAAGGAAGGACACAGGGGAAACTGAGTCCTGGCCCCAGACTAGCCCCAAGGCAGCCTGAAGGGGGTGGCCTGCCCCGATCCTTAAGGAGTCTGATGGGGAAGGCATCCTGCCTGTCCTCCAGTCTGACGGGGGCAGTGCTCTCCTGCCATGGGGAACCTCCAGCCTGATGGAGGAGGCACAGCTCCTGATGGGAGACCAGCCCCCGTCTAATGCAGGAGACACTGCCCTCTGCCCCCCCGTCTGGTGGAGAAGGCATCCACGCTGACCTTGAGAGGCCTAAGACTGATGCGGGCGGTGTCCCCTATCTGTGGTCACCCCCAGCCCGACAGGGTGGAACAGGCTGTGCCTCGTGGAGTCCCTGATCACCGGAGGACAGATTCCTGCCCTCAAGAACGTGAAACCTGCTCCGAACTTTAAGGGGGACACAGGGACAGACATGAGTACAGGATACACACTGCCCTGCAGGGTTACCTGCACTCAGTGGGGGTGAGCGGGCCATGCTCAGGGCAGGGAGGGGGATTCCCTCCAAGTGGCCGGAAGGCATACCCAAGGCACGTGGCAGAGTGGGTTGGGGGGCATCTGGGAGAGAGGGGCAGAGGTCTCGGCTCTGTCCCTTCCTGCCTGGCCTCTGCCTCAGACTCCTGTGTAGATGGGCAGCTCCTGGAGTAAGGGGACAGACTTCAGCCCACGACAGTGCTGACATCTGTGAGGAGCTGTGCTGACATCTGTGGCATCTGTGCGCCGGGCCTGGTGCTCTCACCATCTCATTTGAGCCTCGCAGCCACGCAGCTAGAACGTGGCAGAGCCAGGATGGAAGCCCACAGCATTGATTCCAGAACCCGCAGGGCTCCTCGCGGCATGGCCGTGTGTGCCCTCCTGCGCACGGCAGATGCTCACCGTGTAGAGGATCAGGACTGAGATGAACTGGGTCAGGCTGTACAGGGCCATGTACTTGAAAACGCTGAATGAGGTGTCGAGGGAACAGCGCCCTTCCCTGGGGGGCAGGGTGTGGACGTTAGGGCGCCCCAGCCAGCGGACAGGCCCTGCCGAGGCCCCGCCCGCCAGCCCCTGCCAGCCTCACCTGATGACCATGGGCACACACTCGATACTGGCCAGGCTCGAGGTGAAGGGTGAGACCACCGAGGCCTCGGCCTGGGAGAGCGAGATGCCCACGTCGGCCGCCTTCAGGGCCCCGCAGTCGTTGGCGCCGTCCCCGCACATGCCCACGCAGTACCTGACGGAGAGGCGTGGCCTGTGGGATGACCCCACCCACCCCGCAGGCTGCCAGCTGAATACAGTGACCCTCGTTGCCCACACAGTGCCTGGTGCAGGTGGGATTCTGTGACGGATGCGGTGGTTATCTCAAGCAGGACAGACCTAGGAGAGCCTGCCTGGGTACTTGGTGGGCTACGGCTCTCTGATGCCCAGGGAAGGGAACGGGGCTGCGTGGACAAGCTCACTTCCTGCAGGCCCCTCGCCCACATGGCCGCCAGTACTCACTGAAGCTTCTGCAGCTCACACACCAGCTCCGTCTTCTGCTCAGGGGCCATGCGGGCAAAGACGGTGGCCTGGACCAGGACCTGGGAGCACAGGGTGAGGGGCCGGGCTGAGGCAGCCGCCTGGGGAGACAGCCAGGAGGAGGGAGGCTGGGGCAGCCCTACCTTGGGCAGCAGCTTGGGGAAGTGCTTCACAATGACACCAAAGGTGGACCCGCTGAGGGCCAGGTGGCTGGACTGGGGCTCTGGCTCCATGGTGTAGCTCGCGGCCTGGTCAGGATCCTGGGGGCCCAGGAAGCTCGGCTTAGTCCCCCTGCCCACCTAGAGAGCTGGGGCCCGGGGCGAGGGACACAGGGTGGGGTTGCTGGTTTGGGTGCAGCGGGAGCTCCGGGTTGCCCTCACCTTGACCCCGTTCACGGCTGCGGGGGGGTCCACAGGCAGGAACTCCAGGGAGGCAGGCCGACCTCGCTCAGGGTATGTGGCATGGACGATGACCAGGCGCTCCTGGGGGCCCACCATGCCACAGCCTCGGGCCACAGTGACCGCTGTCTGCAGGTTGTCCCCTGGCGGGGGTGTAGGGCAAGGTCAGGGTCCCGTGCTTGCCGGGAGGCTACCCCGACCCTGACCCTTACAGATGGGGACGCTGAGGCAGGATGAAATCATCTGCCATAGCCGGGCTCGGTGGCTCAGCCTGTAATTCCACGCCTTTGGGAGGCTGAGGTGAGTG